ATATATATATATATATATATATATATATATATATATATATATATATATATATATATCGCTTTCCCTTTAACAATACATATCGGCGCAAGCATTATTTTGTTTTATTTCACATTTTCCACAAGCAACAAAGAGAGAATGATGCTTGTATCGATTTGTGTCATTAAACAGAAAAAAACTCACGACTCTACCGTGTTGATATTCTCAGTTGTGATTGGTTCATTGTTTCGGTACTGTTCAATTCTGTTTAATAGAGTATCCATTCCCCAAAAAAGTCAGTCTGTTAGAAAAATCAAATCAGAATCGATTTTCTCGTAAAAGATACAATCAATTTTGATATTTCAGTTTCAGGTCCCTCTGCTTTCTAAAAAAGTAAACTAAAACGAGAATTCAGGAAATATCAAAACCAAATACAAGGGAGGCGCGGTCAAAATTCGCAAAAAACAAGCAAGAATTTTGAAATAATCGAATCCGGGTCGTGAACTACCAAGTTAGTTACGAACGCGTTGTAACACGACGTTATTTACAAGCCTGCTAAACTCCCGGCCGGCTCTCCTTCGTGATTGATCAACAAACGGCGGTAACGCGCTGGCGGGCGCGCATAATCACGCAATTATCGCATGCTTGCGGCCCTCGCAGACACTGCAATAAAACATTTGATCGTGACACGCGACCTCCTGCGGAATAGCCGAGTCACACTTGCGCTTCTTTATGGCAATCACATAATTTCGCATGCTCGCCGTTGACGTCGTCGTTGCCATTGCCGTTATTGTTGCCGATGTCGTCGTCGACGTCGCGCACGCGACCTTCTGCCACGGAGAGGATACTCGTCTCTCTTCCCGCCCCTTTTCTTAACCTCGGACAGACCTTCGCGATTATCACGACGTGAGACAATCGATAACGCAAACTTCACAACTTTCTTATCACGTTTGTGAAGTGCAAATATATTCTACTGAACTAATCATTGAATTTATATCACGTACGGAGAAAATTCCATAGCAAAAGTTACTATAGGATTTCATGACCAATAGGTCACCTTTTGCGGTAATTGACTATCTTTTTCATTTTACATGTGTGCTATTCAAGTTTTACTACTCTCTAAATTTCTTGGAGTGAAATCTCACTTGAAGTTATAGTGAAACTACCGTCACTCGAGATCACAGTGAATATTTCACTTAAGCTTAGAGTGGACTCTGGTTCCATATGAGCGAATGTTTCAATCGATTAGAACGAATATATTCCCGTAAACGGTGGAGAGTACATCAAATTCACTCTTCAATTTCGAGTGAAAATATATAGTGGAGAATTTACTCTGTATGAGAGCAAAAAATCACTCGAATTTTAGTGACTCCGTGGTCATTTTATTTTTCGAATGAAACTCCAAGAAACTTAGAGAGCATGCTATTTCTAGAGAAAAACGATGGTAAAAACATGGGTGCGAAGTGAACTATTCCTAAGTGATGCACTTTACAGATCGACTAATAAGATTGCTGCCAAATTGACGTCCATCTGTTTATCTGCACACGTTCTGTCATATTCGCCTCTCGATATTCTCCCGAATATTGCGCGCCAGGAATGTGTGTGAGGTCTTATTTTCCTCTGGCTTTTTTGCGATGCTGTTTCGCAGCAGCCAAGGGCCCCAGAGAAAACGGATGTTTCGCGAGATCGTTTCGAGAAGATGGGGGACAAAATCGACGCGATGGAGATGACGGAGAGAAGAGAGAAAAAAAGGAAGAGGGAGAGAGAGGGAGAGAGATAGATAGAGAGAGAGAGAGAGAGAGAGAGAGAGAGAGAGAGAGAGAGAGAGAGAGGAAAGAAAGGAGAGAAAGGAGAGAGAAGAAAGAAAGAGAGAGAAGATAAATCGAACAGCAACGAACGGTGCGGCGCGGATGATCGCTAGATAGAAGCGACTTCCACGTGTTATCACGACGAGAGCTGCTCGAAGAGGGCTCCGCGTCACGCCGCGGGCAGTTCTCTCTCCGATGAGAGATATCACGTCATATTTTACCCACAAATCCCGCCGTACCTCTGATGTTTCATCGTCCGGGGCTTTTTCCCTTTACGAGGCAATGATTCCGCGCGCGCACATACACGAAACTGTGCCTCGGGCGGCTCTTCCTCGCACCTGTTTCTCTTTTATTCCTGTTTTCTTGATCCATTTCGTCTTGCTCTTCGTTGCGTATGTACAGGATGTCCTGCACCAACCGTCAAATATTGAAATGACAGATAGTAGAAGGCAAACCGAGACGAAAAGTCCTTTGCCATTTTCTGACACGAACATTAGTGTTGATGAGTCATTAATTAATTAACCCTGGTAGAAATTTCACGCAGTTTGTAAGCAGTTACTGAACAGCTATATTAACGTTTGCCCAGTGACTGGCGAATAAAACTGTTGGGATCCCAATCAAGATGTAACGTTTTGTCTACAGTTACTGAGCACAAAAAACGCGCAATATGTGAACTCATTTATTGACCGAGAACTGAGCAATAATTGGACAAAGAAATTATTCAATCGATTAATAAACAAGTTTATCGCTCATAAAATGGACAGTTTTGTGTTAGTAATAATGGATATTGTGTATATGCTTGCTTATTGTACAATTTTAATTTTTAATAAAAGTTAGTATAGTCGTAGACATAAAGAATGTCTGATTTTTTGTAATAAATTTCAGAATATAACCGAATAGTTCAATATAAGAAACATATTTTTTAGGTACTATTCTCTCATTGGATAATTTTTAGGTTACGTTGCCAACAAAAAGTCGGATAACCTTTATATCCACAATTATACAGAAAATCCAAGGTGCGTTTCTAAAATAGTCTAATGTGTTTTTGTCGCAAAGCAATTCTATATCATTAATATACAGCTCATTTGTCGCTTGCTCACTTTCAACTCTAACCTTACTTATCACTTCTGCCATAACGTTATTTTGTTAAATTCCAGATTTCCTCCAACTTCCTCTTCCTTGCTCTATGTTTTGCTACGCGTCCACTTATTCTTTACATAGTTTTAAGATCGTCTCTAAACAATATAATTTTTATC